GGTAGGGGTCATCCCTCCATGCACCCATACAAACTGTAACTCTTCTATATGCTATGGTCTTTCTGAGTTGATACTACTTTAAAAAAAAAAGTCATCACCCAGTAGTCAATCCGGTAATTCCCTCTAACCTTAGGTTGGTTGGTCATTGGAAAACAACCATCAGTCCATCACTGGACTCATATTCAAAAGCCCCTTTCAGCTTTGTAGCCAGAGCTTGTACTTTATGGGTGTGGGTTTTGAGAGCCACCATATTATCAAAACTATTTAAGTGGAGGGTGCTAATAAGGTTTCAATATGGTCAGAAATTCAGTACCTATAGATTATAAATTTCCTCTGTCATACTATAAGATGTCTCAAAGGATGTTTATAGCTGTTTTCATTAACAGTTTTCAAAATACTATACATTCAAGTTTTATGATCCCAATATAGCTATCCTTTCCTTCATTAAAACTGAAGAATTTTGGTCCTATCTCCACACAGCAAGAGACAAACTATGGAAAAAAATAAATAGTTCATCAGAGTCATTACAAAACCTCTCAATAATCCACATCCACTGATACAATGTTTATCAGTTTGCTATAATATACCACAGGCCAGGTGACCCCACCCTGTGTTGAACTCCTTTTCTCTGAATTTGTGTGACATTTCTCATCTTTAGCACAGTGTCTTAGAACTGAAACAATCTGGGAGGTTATCTAGCCTACCAGATTCATTTGGAAGAAGAGGAAACTGAGGCCCTGAGAAAAACCAAGTTTTTCTGGCTACCAAGTCAATGTATTTTTCACCACTCATTTTGGTATTTATTTCTATAATGATTTTAAAAGACATTTAACTCTTGTGTGAGCATGAATTGCCACCTCCACTAAATTATAAACTCCTAGAGGGTTGAATCAGTTTTATATCCCTTTGGTATAACCTTCAGCACCTAGGACAGTTTACAAAGAAAATGCTCAATAAATGTTTGTTGCATGTAGGAACTCTGCAGTACCATTTTGCTCAATTTCTGACTACAGATTTAAAGTTAAGCACAATCAATCAATCAGTAAACATTTATTAAATGCCTCTTATGCGCCAGGCACTGTGCTAAGCATTGGGAATACAAAGAAAGGCAAGCTCCTCCTTCCCTCAAGGAGTTTACAATCTAATAAGAGAGACAACATGCAAACAAATATATACAAAGCAAGCTATAAACGGGATAAACAGGAAATAATTAACAGGGAGAAATCAAGCAGATAATTCAGATAAAACAGGTCCTAAGGCTGAGAATTAGGAGAATTTGGCTTTTTTTTTCTTTAGCAGTTTTGCTTTCATAGATAATTATACCTAGTCAATCCCAAACACTAGTGCCCAAAGAGTGATGATTGAATTAAGTGTACAATACCTTGTATTCTCCACTAAAGTTTTCTTTCTGCTGATGCTTCTATAATGCTAGTTAACCTAATCTTCCCACTGAAAAATAAGTTCACCTTGCTGTACACAATAGAAATGTCCTAGGCCAAACAACTACATAGATAAGTAGTGTCAATTGCTCTAAATGGCATTTCAGTCATCATTCAAGGACATTTTATCCATGTTTTTAATTATATGCAGTGAATCTTTCTTTTACATTGTTATTAACATATTCAGAGTAGGCAGAAAATTCCTATTTGGATATAATCTACTATCTCTTATTTACTTTATTTCTCTATACAACCTGCAATAACAGCAAGAGATCCTTAGACCAAAATATGTATTTATTTTTTTCATGTCCAAGGAAGACACAAATCCAAATAACTTTGAAAGGATAGATAAATTTAAATTGATAATAGTACTTTTATTAATCTAAGAGTTGATGCTACTGTCCCTAGAATGCAGTAAGTAGTAATATTAAAATGGGGTGGGAGGAACAATCTGAGCAACTTTCTGTCTTCTCAATCAGGTATTCACAGAGTTAGCCTCATTGCTTGTATCAAAATATATTATCAGATCAAGCATATTAATATTCAAATTTATACTGAAAAAACTAAATACAAATGATTTCCATTATTGACTACTGTTTCCTCCTGTTGTGAAGAATAGCTTCCTCTAATTACTTTAGTCGCAATGTCTATATTTCAGTCATAAATTATGTGATTTACATAAAAAATTCTTTGAAAATCAGTGAGTGATCTTTCAGAAATCAGGGTAATCAGTAAAGGTATCTCAGTATTAGAGAAGGTTAAATGTTCTGATGTAATAGGGAGGGGGAGAACAAATTGAATCTGCAAACTCTTGACCAGTAAATTTGGTATTATTTCCTGGAAAAAAATTGAGAATGTATTGTTAGAGAGATAATTAGTAAAGATCTAGAAAAAGAAGCAACACAGAACCAATATGGATTCATCAAAAGTAGATATTGACAGGCCAAACTAATTTCTTTTGACAAAGTTATTACACTGGTAGATCTGTTCTAAATAGACTTTACCTAGATCTTAGAAAAATATTTGAAAAAACCTTTTATACTATTGTTGGGAGGAAAAAGGAGATGTTAGTGAGATAATAGTACAGTTAAGTGGATTTAAAACTAGTTGAATTACCTGGACCTAAAAAAGTAATCATTAGAAGTCTCTAGCAGAGCGTCAATATAGTTCTTTGGGGCAAAGGGCTCTACTTCCTAATGTAACCCTGTGTCAGTGACTTCCATCTGACACAAAGGATACAGGTGTGCTTTAAGGGACATCTTACTTCACTTAATTACTGCTCTATTCAGATAATCCGGGAACTTTTGTTTCTGCTATCCTGCCACAGAGTATAATCACCAACTCCTCTAACATGCACATAGGTTCACAAGGCTCAAAGCATGAACAGTTTTATTTATAGGCCAGGAAAACAAATATAATCTGTCTCAGAGCCCTTAGAGAATAACAATACCTATAAAGGAAAGCTTTCTCCCATCATTTGAGAAAGAGACTTTTAATCCTCACTATATTCATTATTTTCTTTAGGTTAACATTAAATTGAGTTTGTGTTCTTGAGCCCATGCCAGATGATAATGGCTTTTTCAGAATATCCAAAATAGGGACCCATGCCCTTCTACACCTTGGAAAACTGAGAATTGACTTGAGTTTAAAAGTGCTGGATCTTACATTTAATATATATAGATTTTTCCCTGAAACATCACTATAATTATATTGAACTGATTATTCTTTTTTTCTTGAATTAAATTTTCTTTGAGTGCTGTGACCTAGAAAAAATCTTACCTGTCAATCTCTCATATGACTTTCAGTAACAATGATTTGCATTTATTAAATGTTATTATAAGGAGATGCATTTTGCAATGACATAACTCACTTACTGTAAAGTGCTACTGCTAATAGCATTACTTTGTGAAAATTTTACTTAAGCCAAATTTTAAAATTGAATAATAATCATTATCAAATATAAAAGGGAGAGAGCAAGGCTATAAATGGCAAAAGTCACCTGGAAGACATTATTTAAAGAAACTGTTGGGAGACTACCACTTATATTTGGATGGAGCTGTGATCTCAATGATGCAGGTACTCCCTCTAGTGGTGCAGATAGCATCCATGCTGCATCATCCTGAGTGACTCTTGAACACGACCCCTTCGAAGTCATCCACAGGGAGTACATTCAAGATACTAGGGACCTTTCTCAAAATTTCCTGATATGCTGTGGAACCAATGGGACACAAATACTCTTCATCAGTTATCCTTTCCCAATTATAAATCTTTCTGATAACAGCCTTCTCCCACCTAAGTCTTCATTTATGGCCTATTTATGCCTGCCATGTACCTCTCCCCACCCTTTAGGTGACCTGCCATATTCTTTTGAGAGTTTGGTAGCCCATGACTTATAGACATGCAGCATCATAAGAATGGGACAGTAATGTGAAAATTAACTGGAGCAGCATAAAATTAAATTAAATATATTGACTTATGGAACAAACCTTACATCTTTTTACATCTTTAAAAAGCATGTTTAAATGGATTAAGCTTTCATAGTCTCCTTTTGCTGTAGTCATTTGTTTTACACCATTTAGCATTGAACTCACAAATTTTTTCATCATGAAGCCAAACTTTTATCACATTAGATATTAAGCATATCTTTGAAAGACAGTCCATTTTTCTGAATCTAGCCCATAGATTGTCAATGGAGTATAAACAAAGCAAGTTCCCAGGCTATTGAAACATGTTGAAATTCTTCTTTTAGATAAATCCTAATTTTCAGTAATGTCTATTATAGTATAAGTCTGTGTTCCATCTCCACTTAGGAATTTTTCTAATTCTGGAACAATAATAGTAGTAATAACAACTAGCATTTATATTAAGTTGTGCTAAGCATTTTACAGATAATACCTCATTTTATCCTCCCTGCAACCCTTGGAGGTAGATACTATACTATGCTCATTAATCTCTCAAAAAGGACAAAATTCTCAGGCCAACTGGAAGTAAAAAATCCCCCAAACATTTTTTGGGCATAGATGTTCAATAGTCTGCTGAAATAAGCAAATTTTACAGACTCATGTGGACTTCTGATAAGAGTTAAGGTATAATTAAGAATGAAAAAATCAGTAAAAACTATTTTTACAATCCTCAGTACAGTAGTCTTTGTATTGTTATATTGCTCAAAGCAAGTGTTTTTCTTCATAGCAATGGTTACCTAAGATTGTATTTTGTTTGATTGGTTTTTACGCATTTCAATGTTCTTCCAACTCCAAGAACCCAACACTGCATTGTAGAAGAATCAACAACAACCCCTCCAGCTTTTAGGACTCTCTGAATATTTTACTTCTCTTATAAGAATTAATTCGATTGCTTCATAGAATTCACTTGTAAATTCTTCGCATCAATTTTCATTTTTGACTGCACTATCCTTTGTGTTTGACATCACTGATACTGTTTTTTTGTGAGATTGAAAGACTCTTGAAATAGTTTACTTCCCACACCAATAACTGCTGCAATATCTCTAACAGTCATAGAAGTGTGCTCTTTAAGAAAGCAAACTTTTGCACTTTTATTTGATGTTATATCCATTCTTGAAACCACAAAATTTAAAATGCAACATAAGAAGGCAATGAAATGTATGTGTATTACACGAAATCTAGCACACATCTGTCAGAGAACAAAATAAATATGGGGAAACCAGCTCACTTTAATTTCATTTGTTCAAAGTCAGTTGTTCTGGGTCAGCCTAGTGTCAGTAGAATCAAACATATATAACCACAGACCTGAGGAAATATTTAAGGTTTGGGGGCTGTAAATACACAGCAGACACAGTGAAGGATTTTTTTTGGCAAATTTATGATTTCCTTTACACCTCATTTATGGGTGAGCCAGCTGGGTTCAATTCCCATTTCTAACAAGTATTGGCTGTGTGACCTGAGCAAATAACTTGACCTCTCAGTAACCCCAAGAAAATCTCTAAAACAATAAATTGCAGAGCAGGCACCAATATGCACTGGTAAAGAGAGTTTCCTCAGTGGAAGTTCTTTATATCAATAAAAGCACAGATCCTGTCGAGAGATACAGAGAGAGAGAAATATATACATATAAGAAAATATATATACAGTTATAAATGTAAATACATACATACACACCACTTTAGGCTAAAAACATTATATATACCTATATATATCTTTACATACATAATGTATATTACATATTATGATGTATGTTACATCATGTATACAATTTTCATACTATACAAATAATACATTTGCATATATAATATGAGCCATTTATATATTGTTCATATATATAATATGAATTGGTTTAACCCTACCAATATTATTTAAATCAGTGTATTCATATTCCTCTTTTTCTTAGTAACTTTACTTTATACTGTCCACGTAGCATAGATGGAAGAAGAAAATTTGCTTCTATCCATTTTAGACTGGTAGGGAAAGAAACTAAACAATTCAGGACAAAAGCAATCTACTTTGGAAGTCAATTTTTTTTATTTTTAATTTATAGAATAAAAAATAATCTCCATAGCATAATATAATAAAAAGATGATTACACATGAAACTGCTCTACTATGCTCAACATGCTATTCCTCTCAAATATACAACAAAATTATCACATAAATTTCTTTTTTTCTTTTTTTCTTTCCTCTTCTTAAAACTACAAAATTGCATAATTCCACCAACAATGAATTAGTGTCCCAATTTTTCCACATCCCTTCCAACATGTCATTTTCCCCTTCTATCATTTTAGCCAATCTAGTAGGTATAAAATGGTATCTCAAAATTGTTTTAATTGCATTTCTCTAATCAATAATGATTTAGAGCATTTTTTCCACATGACTATAAATTGTTTTGATTTCTTCATTGGAAAACTGTTCGTATCCTTTGACCATTTATCGACTGGAGAATATCAATTAATTGCATTATACATAAACATAAGTAAATATTATATGTTAAAACTACGTTGCCCATTTAGAAATGCAAAATAAAATCTAAAGAAATCTAAAATCTAAAGGTAAGGAAAACCTGTTTCTTTTTTAAAGTATAATCAGCACGTTTTGTTTACCCTGCTCTAATAATAGCATGAGAAGATATATGGACTAACTAAAAAATACACTAAACAGATTTGGAGGGGGATGGATACAAAGTTAGGACTTCTGAGTTATGAAAACATCAGACAACCATTACACAAAGGTGTAGCTTTTTATTTAAAACTGAGCTGCTATGAATGCTATCATGCTACAGACACCTCTGAATCAACAATCCATGTTGGCAAAATCTTATGCTGACAAATTCTCACCTAGATTGAAATTTTTCACTTTATAAACAAGTAAGCGGGAAGTCTTATCCTCTAAGTTTCATCACGAGACTGGAAGTTGGGAGAGCTGAGTCCTCTGGCAGGCACACATGACCTTGTGTCTCTGCTTTCCTGCTCCCTCATCTTCCCTTTCTATATAACAGGCATTGAAAAATAACAGGATTACAATTATCATAAATATAAATTTTATTGTCCTCCTTAAGCTTTGAAAACCACAAGAAACACTACTCTACCTATCTTTTCTCATTTATGCCTAATGATATCATTCATTTACCAAAACAGTCATACTACTGAAGGTAGTTTAGTATTTAGAGAAGAGCCAATTATATATGGTAATTCTGTTCCTATCATAATGTGGGTTTGAAGAGAACACTATAGCGGACTGAACATAGCAATAATTTTCTGGTCCTACTCTTACCAACTTCTAAATACCTCTGGTGGCCGAGGAGTGGGTGGGGTGTAAGCACTCCATATGTTTGCATATACACGTAAGGGTACAAATGTGTGTGTGTACATTGCAAAATCAGAGAATTCTGGAGTGGTAAGAAACCTCAGAGAATATTCAGTCCTATATGAGTAGGAATCCCATCCACAACACCCCACAGAAGACATCATCTGGCATCTACTTAAAGATCTCCAGTGATGTGAAACTCACTATCCCCTGAGGAAGCTTAATGCACCCCTGACTAGCTCTAGTTGTAATAAGTCTTTTCCACATATAGATTGATCTGCCCCCACAGTTTCCCATTTCTTCCTTCTAGGTCCAGGCAAACCAAAGAGAATCCAGTCTCTCTGTTGTATAGCAGGCCTTCAAGGACTTGAAGACAGTGCTCACATCCTGCTAAATTTCCTCCAGACTTAAACATCCTCAACTCATCTGATAACAGTTTCTAGTCCCCTCATTAGTCAGGTCACCCTCTTCTGCATATTTTCCAATTTACCAATGTCTTTCCTCAAATGGGGCACCCACATGTCTTTTGAGAAATGTTTCTGCCTTACTTCCTTCTGGTCAGACTTAGGGCCATATTGATGGTATAGGGGTCATTTTGTGGATGACTAAGCAGGAAAGTGGACACACATTTGAAATGGTGTTCAAAAGGGTAGCCTAGTAGTAGACCGGAAGTCATAAAAAGAGGGTTCTGGGCTCAGCTCTGCTACTAACTCATCTTGTGGCTTTGGCTCAGATTCCTGTCTGGTTTTGGAAATCTTCTACTTGGTCTAGGAATTTGGTTGTGTCCTCCATTCCTTTTTTATGGAGTTTTGCTCAGGAAACAAGAAAGGCACAGGAGTGGCCAGGAATAACCTACTTCAGCAATTGCAGGGTCTCTTGCACAAGGTTTGATACATTCACCATTGCCCAAAGTTTCTTACTTCTGGATGTTTCTGGATCTCTACACTGCTGAGGAAAGACAAGGGAGAAGAAGAAAGGAGAAATTATAGATTTAGAGCTAAAAGTGACCTTACTGATCATCTAATACAACCCACTCATTTTATACATAAGACAAACTGAGGCTCGGAGAGATTAAGTACTTTGTCCAGCATCATACAAGCAGTGACCATCAGAATCAGAATTTGAATCCAGTTCCTCCAATTTCAAATCAAGCACACTTTCTATGAAATCCCATTATTACTGTGTCATGTCCCGTCAGTATTATTTAGAGGCATTAGACTGACAAAGGTCTCTCAAAAGCAGAAACTCTTCCCATTCTCTCATTTGGTGACTTCATTGGTTTATTATATCTAGCAAATAACTCCCAAATCTATACAGACAGCTCCAATCCTACATTATCACCTGCCTACTGGACAGTTCACACTATGGCCCATATTCATCTCAAACTTACTATGTCCAAAAGAGAATTCACTTAATTTCCCAAAAAAAAGTCCATACTTCTGTAGAGGGCACCACTAGCCTTCTAGTCTCTCAGGCTCTACCTTGGAATTTTCCATGTATAGAATCAGTGGTTAGGTTTTATCATTTTTACCTACACACTATCTCTCTACAACATTGTCTCCCCTGATAGAATGGAAGCTCATAAAGAAAAGACTGTTTCATTTTTGTCTGTCTTTAGACACAGACAAACACAGTGCCTGTCACATAGGAGGCACTTAATAAATTCTTCTTGATCCACTCTCACGTTCATGCCAGAAAAGGGCAGATTTACTTCCAGACTTATCAATGTGAAATGTGTCTCTTGGAACACTTAGACTACTTACTCTCAGATAGACACACAATGTGTCAATGCATTCTCAGACAAACCATTGTCCTTCTAGTGAGACAGGGCCTTGGGATCCTCCAAATGATAAATTTAAAAAGTTTAGAGATTCATAGAATTCAGAGATTAGAGAGCATCCAGCAGGCACTGGGTCATAGTTAGAAGCGTCTTTAAAGCCGTTTTTGAAGGTGTAAAATTTCTGAGACATCCATCAAAATTTTTGGAAAGAAGAAATTCAGTAATCTAGGACCAGTCAGCTCCTGATTGCCTCAAAAAAAAAAGAATACAGTAGCAACCTACATTTGATCACTTAATGCTATCATTTTAGCAAGGGATAGAACATTCAATGTGAGCTAAAAAAAAAAAATTAAATCCCAAAAGTGGTTGTCACTCAGGAAATTATTGAATTCTATGGAATTGGCACATACATTCCAAATCATATGAAAACTTAATGAATTTTGTATACTCGGTAGTCTTAAATATGTGCTTGATGCTAACTACAAATTGTACAGCCAATATCAATCATCTTTATGTATCACATACTACTGAATATAATTAATATTATTAAAATGGTCAAGCCAATTTTTTAAGTATTCCAGGAGGCACAGATCATATAAGTTCCCTGCTAGCTCTAAGATCCAATAATCCCTACATCATCCAGGTTAGTGCCCAGACTGTTTGGAGAGGAGAGGCTTTCAAGTAACCTAGTGGTTCTTAGGCACTCAATTCTACCAGCTCATTCCTGTTCTTTTTCCTCTGTATTCTTCTCATACAATGTTCCCTTCTTCAGATACTTTAAATCCCTCAGGTCTGTGTAGGGCAACGTCTGAGCTGACCTTTCCTTCCTGGAGGTGCCAGCTTAGATGCTGGGCAACAGAATGCAAAATCCTTGAGGACTGGAACTCTTTTTGCTTTGTTATTGTATGCCCAGTGTAGAGCACAATGGCTGGCACACAGTAGGTGCTTAATAATGCTTGTTGAATTAATTTAAAATGAATTGCCCTCAGAATCCTTGATAGCCACACTTCTGTAGCAGGGAAACATTGTTTCCTCTATATTTCCTGGGCTAGCACTAGCCACCTCGCATTTGTGTACTCTTCGTCCCTCAGGTTTCCAGGGCCCTCATGCTACAGCAGGTCCCTCCTAAAATGGAAGGAGATCTACTGAATTACTCATATAAGGTTCAAGCTACTTAATGTACTAACCTTCCCAGAAATAACTGCATTTTAAGGATTGTATCTCCAATACATGGCAGCACTATTTGGGGCAGGGGGTTAGGACTGTTCGTAAGTACTCCAGAAATCACACAGTGGAGTCAGTGGTTAGACAGTGCATGGTACTAGTTAGGCTGTGTTTCTAGTTAGTCCTTCTGAACTTAGTTTTACTGACTGTGTATGAAATTCGTTCCTTTTGCCCTTTATCTGCAGTGACATTGGCTGATGCTAAACTGTGGCCTGTCTGGGACAGTTAATTAGGTTATGGAAGCTGCCAAAACCCCAAAGTCATAATAAGAAAATGCTGCACATTGAGACTTAGGTAACATGTAGAAGACAAAAAAGAGGGAGGAGGGGACACAAAGAATGTAGAAATTTAATTCTTAATGCCTCCAAGTCCTTCAGTGAATGCACTGGAAATGAGATTTTGTGTCTGAAACTCCTAAAAACAGTATTGAGTCATATCAAGTTCAACTAACCTTTTTTGATCCCCACTATGTAAAAGTTTGAGTGGGCTGTGGAATCTGCCTGTGCAGTTACATTATTAACCTTCTGGGCTTCTCCCAAGTTCATGACAGAGTGATTCCAATTCATTCAGAGATCTCATCCATAGGAGCAATGGTAGGAGAGCAGAAAGTGTGAAACTGCATAGTTAATGAATATAACATTTTTGCATGTTCAAATTACTTAGTTTGAATTTGGTGAGAAATGCATCAAAGGAGAAAGAGCTGTCTGCCCCCTAGCTCTAAGGGATGGAAGTGCCACTCCTGTAGTCCAGTGTTTTCTAAAGAGGAATCTCTTCAGAGAGGGCAATGAGCTCAGAGAAAGCAGCACAGCAGCAGCTGCTGCTTTTGAACCACCATTCAGACAAGGTAACTGAGTTCAAGGCAGAAAACTGTCTCCCCAGAAGGCCCTCAAAATAAACGAAGATATTTAAAGTTTTACCTAGTTGACCTTCAAATTGGTGACACGGATATTCTTTTAAGTCTAAGCAACTTGTTTAGATTATAAAGTATACTTCCTAACTTTCAAGCATTAGCTGCCTTCTTCTCTTGGTCCCTCCATCCTCAGTTTCAGACTTCTGCAAGAAGAAAATAACTCCCCCTGGCAAAAAGTTGAAATCTCCATGCCCTGGAGTTAGTGGGCACGTGTACCCTGTGTTTGCCCCACCCCCAAAGCTCCTGTGAAGCAGTAGCAAAAGCACTGGATTTAGATTCAGAGAACCTTGGTTCAAATCTAGGCTCTGCTACTTAATACCTCCATGTGGCCTTGAAAAGGGCACTGTAACCTCTCTGTATAAAATGACAGCCGTAAACGAACTCTCAGGTCCCTTCCTGATCTATATTCTAAGATCTTAAACTCTAAGTGGTTGCATTTTCCTTGGCTCTCAAACTTACTTAGGAATTAGCATTTTTGAAGGGTTAGATGCCAGTGGCAAAAAGCACCTGCATAGATGATCTTTCCAATCTACAGGTTGTTGGTGATTTCTGGCTCTTAGACTATCTGTGTGATAATTAAATTCATTTTTTTCTTCTATTTAAAAAAAAAGGATAATGCTTGCACTCTCTATTTCAAAGGATAGTTGGAAAGTGCTCTGAAAACCTTAAGACGCTATGAAAACGAGCTATAGTTGTGCAATGGAATTACTAAAGGCTCCCCCTCCCCAGACCCCATAAAAAGGCAGAGTTGTGTGGCGTCCTCGAAAGATCATTAAGCCGGTGGTCAGAGAACAAAGACGAAATCCTGGCTGATAACTACTTAGTTGGATGACCCTGTATAACCAATCAACCACTCTGAGCCTCAGTTGTCTCACCTGTAAAATAGGGATAACGCTATTTTTGTAACACCTACCTCACGGAGTTGTGAGAACATTTTTAAAGCACTGAGCGAAAGTGAGATCTTTTCCCACTCCTTAAGCCGTTCACCTCTCTACCCAATTCCTCACACCTCTGCCTGGATGCCCCAAGATCTCGCCATGCCCCTCCCCTGCCCGCCCTGCCAGACATCCACCCGGGCAGAGCGCAAGTGCGCACGCCCTCCGGGAGGCGCACCAGAAGCATCCCAGCACTTGCGAGGGCGTCTCCAGCTTGAACAGCCCCGCCCTTTCTCTCTGAACTAGAAAGCAGTTGGAGCAACAAGCAGCTAGCCCCCGAGACATTCTCCTCTTTCCTGCTCCCTCCCCCACCCTGACCAACACCTTTCTTTTTTTAATATTTCATGGAAGCGGCTCTCCGAGACTCCCCGCCACTGACAGCTGTGCTGAGAGCTGCTCTCTCTGAAGCACTGTGCCGGGTCCGTGCATCCCCGCTTGCATCTGGGTTACTCTGATCCCCAACATCCGTATGAATTAATAAATAACCCGCCTCCGGGGAAGGAAAACAAGCCGCTGAGCCTTTGCTTTGTATCCGAGCTAGGTGGGCTTCCTGGTGGGCTCCATTCAAAGAAAGGTCTCAGATCTGATTTAGTCTCCATCCGACCACGAGAACAGTGAAAGGTAGTCTCCTCAAAAAAAAAAAAAAATTCCCATCTCCGCCCAGCCCAGCTTTGGGAGGGTAGAAAAAGCCCAGCCCTTGCCTTCAGCCGCACCTCAAGCCTTTCTTAATATCCGAGGAAATGTCTTTCTGTTTCACACTCTGTACTTAGACACTTTCCTGTTCCTCTGACCTGTGGGCAGCGAACCCGGCCCAGATCGGGGTCAGACGGCGGGCTGCCGGTGCGTGTGTGCGCGCTCAGGCGTCTAACTTGGAGGCAGCCTTACACTGTGTTTCATTAAACACGTGAAGCTCCCCAAACTCGCGAATTGGAGGGAGACGGGGCAGGGCGTTGGGGAGAGATTCAAGTGCTTTTTAACTCTCGGAAAAGCAGTCCCCCAAGAAAGATTAATTATTTTAATTTCCTTTAACAGAAGGACGAAAGTGGGACAACCTGTCAGGACGTCTAGTCCTAAGGCGTCTGGACGTTCCCCTGGCCATCTCCGCCCCATTTCAACACCTCCCCGTAACAACAACCTTTTGGTTTTGGGGGGGGGGCGGTAAGCTTGGTGGGTTGGTGTGCTGGGTGCCAAAAGTCTGAAAATAAACTCGGGAGATCTTTGGCGTAGAAAGTTTGGTTTTCTCTCCTCACCCCCCTCACACTCCTTCACCGCTGCCGCCACCTCCACCCTCCTCCTGCGGCTGCTGTGCTGTGAAGAAAAGGGGGGAGGGGGCTCGTGGCGGGGGGAGGGGGCGCCGGCGGAGGTGGAGGAGAGGAAGGGATGCCAGTAGCTTCCCTCACCGCCTCTTGCGCTCGCTCTGAGGCTCAGACCTGTGCTGCTTAAGCAGCCGCTGCCACAGTTGACCTAGCGTTCCTCCAGCCCGCCGCTGAGCTGAAGACACTGGAGGAAGAAGAGGAGGAGGAGGAGGAAGAGGTGGTGGGGGCAGCAGCAGCCTAAGGAACTGGGGAGTTCGTATGGCCGCTCCCAGTTGGCAGGTGGTGCGCGCTGCTGATACAGCTGCTGTGTCGAGCTTCGGGCGGCTTTGAGCCGTAGCGGTCTCTTGGGGATCGCCCTACCCAGCGCTACCGAGCCAGAACCAGGGCGAGGAGGAGGAGGAGGAGGCGGTGGCATCTGCCACCGGGGGCGATGTGGCCGGCTGGGGCGGGCAGCAAGCTGCCCTGTGCCCGAGACTCGGCTCTCCGGCGGGCGGCTTTCTCCGGGAACCTCACAGCTTTGCCTTCCCACCTAGTGCCGGCCGGCAGGAGCGTCCGGGTCTTCATCAGCGCCAATCCTGAAGGTAACTCGCTCAAGGTCTCCACCTCCTGCCTCTCCGCGGGTCTGTCTGTCTGCCGGTCTGTCTGATCTAGGGTAGCTGGAGCGTGGGTCCTATGGACTGACAAGCTTCCCTCTTTCCTCTTGTTCATCCACCCTCCTCTTTTCCTGCAAAGCGGCTGCTACCCTGGGCTTGATTTTTTTTTCTTTTTAAGCAAACTACTTTTCCTTTTTTTCTCCCCACATCTACCCCCGCCCTTTGCCTGCTGCCTTCCCCCAGGACCCACACACATGCCCGGGTGAGCCACCTGGCGATGCTCAGAATTGTGCCTGCCAGCCTCCAGCAGCTCGGAAGCGATACTGAATACAAGTCCAGGGCTCCCCACCCCCACCCCCACGGCGTCCTCTTCTCTTTTTCTTTAAGGTTGAAGCTGTTTCTTGCCACGGCAATCACAACCTCAAGTTGTAGCTGTTGTCACTCCCCAGCTCTACAGCAAGATCTGTATGGGCAACATCTCCTTCCCTCCTTTCCTACTTTCCCTGCCACAGTAAGAACAGATTCATCTTACTTAGAACAGGGTCATCGCAGGGTGGCCAAGCTAGTTCCCATACTGACTGAAGGCTTCCTTGTAAAAGGCTGCCCTTCGAGGTGATTTTAAACCTTATGTAGGGGATGAGACCTTTAAATTAAACCGAAGCAGAGATGTGGATGAAGTGAAGCAGTTTGAGGGGGATGGGGAGAGAGTGGCAAGGGTGGCTCAGTCTGGATCTTGGAGTAAGGAAGAGAGTGTAGGGACGTTGTTGGAGCTTGACTGAGAGGAGACATTCGGTTTCTCTGGGCCAACTCGAGTCAATAGATTTTTTAAAAAGGTTTGCTTGTTCTAAAATCCCCGTTCTGGATTTGATTTTTACCCATGCACAATTCTGGCCCTTATATTGATAACATTCTTGACTCTAAGCCCTTTTCTAAGCTTGGGGTGTGGGTCCGAAGCAGCTACCTTGCATTACAGGATACTTAGTGGGCGCTCACAAAATACTTGTTGACTCATTACAAGTCTCTCAGGTGCGTTAGGAATCACAGTTTACAGCTAGTAAATTTTTGTCCTAGATGTTCAGTATTAGTCTTTGTAGTCACCTCCACTGTCTTTCAGTTTCTGTTGCTGGATGTTAACTCAACCTCAGTACTCAACAGTGAGTTGGAAAAGATGATCTCAAGTCTGTGTCTAACTTATTAAGGAAATTTTTTTTTCCAAAGTGACAGTTTAGCAGTGAGCACAAGGTATAGAGGAGTGAAATAACCTTTCCTGGTCTGCCTAGTAGTTAGTGATCTCTCTCTCTCTCTCCTCAAATTAGCTTGTCTTGACTTACCTGTTTACCTATCTTATGCTCCTATTGAATACAAGGTCTTTGAATACTGGGGATGTGTTTAGCTTTTGCTTTTGTATTTCTAGCTCTTAGAAATGTACTTTGCATATAGTAGGAATATATTAAATGTCTGTCCAGTTAATTCATGTTTACAGGTGAGTTATACTATAAAAGAATTACTAAAAAATCTACTAAAAATTACATAGTAATGAAGTTAACCTTACCAATTGTTGAATACCGTGCTTAGTTAAGAATAGCCTACATTTGTACAGAATTCTCAGCTTTCTGAAGCACTTTTACCATAACAGCCCTGAGAGAAAGTGCAAATATTATTATTCCCAATTTTCAGATGAGGAGATGGAGGTTTTAGGAGCTGAAATGAATTACTTCTGGTTACACAGGTAGGATCATAGCTGAACTGGATTCTACTTCGCTCTACTAAACTTTCAGTCACAATCTCTAACTGTTCTGCTTGTGAGAATGGAAGACAGAGAATGGACAGCCTTTTAAAGTTTCACTTCACTTATAAAATAATGAGTATGCACCCAAAGTTTCAAGAATAACTTTAAAATTATGACAGGGAAGTTGTGCCAACAATGAAATAGGTCATGTACATTAATTAGTAATGAAAGGCTATGGAAGAAAAAATTTACTTAAGGGGGGAGGAGGCACTTAAAGTTCCTTTAATATTCTGGTCAGACTTCCTAAATGAGTTGTATGTGGATATAGCTTTTAAAAAGCCACTGTATATTTAAAAATCTGTGAGGATATTCTTAAGATGTATACATTAATAGGATATATAGAGGATATGTATGTGTAACAGGATATATGCATCTTAAGATATGTACATAAATTTAGAAAAAAACATATTTGAAGTGTCCAGTTGATTTGCTATAAGTAGAAAAGTTGAAACTTAATTTTTTGAAAATGTACATTAGAGAAGTAATAAAAGTGTTGGGAAGTTTTATTTTTAGCATTTGAGTTGAAATAATTTGGAATGTTGAAGATGTTAGTAAAATGTATCAAAAATAATTAGTCACAACATCCTCATTTAAAAAAATAGATCAAGTTACCTAGTGATGAAAATATTAGCTATCAACAGTTGCTGTTTTCCTTTGGAAATAATATTGCCTTTTTAATGTATAGTGAAGTCAAATATCTGTTATTACCATAATATACAGGTTGATGGATTCATAGACTATTAGAATTAAAAGGGCTTGTAGAGCTTAAAGAGTCCAGTCTTCTCATTTTATAAAAGAGGAAACTGAGGTTCAAATAGATTGTGACTTTAGCTTGTTTTAGAATATAAATTAGTGTGTTTTTCCCCTAGTTTTTAACTTATTGGCAGTGGTAAATTTTTAATGAGTTGATATTGAATTAAGTAATACAGGAACAAACCTTATTTAATCATTTTTATATGGTTCCTCAAATTAGTTATATTACATGGTAAATATTGGCTTTAGTGCATATATGAGATCATCAAGTTCTTGATTCTAGGCAAGGCTCTCACTAATACCATAGAAAACTTTGTGGTATACTGACTTAAGTAGAGATTCAATCTACCTAAGAGACTCCTTGTTAATACAAATATATTCTGGGCCTGATGGTGCCAGCATAGATCCCATTAACAGTTATCTGGCATTTGCTGCCAAAATCATGAAGATTAAATTCAATATTCCTATTAACCCCAGAGAAGGAGAGGGTGGAATGCTAACTAATCCTATAATCCTACATCCTTGACCCAGACAAATTCCACATGGCTCTTAATTATCTTAAATGGGAAGCTTACCTGGCAAACTGCTACAGCCTTGAATTTTAGCTACATTACAAGACAGAATGGCATATTGAATGAATCAGAGTAAAATAGGTTATTTTCTTATGATCTGAGTGTGACACCTTGCAATCTTAGTAACAGCCCTTTCTGAGGAACACTTTACTTCAAGCTTTTCCTGGATACCATTTCAGCACACAAATGGTTGTGTGTTGGTAAGATTGATTATAAGATGCTCAGCCAATTCTAAAGATATTTTCAACTGTTAAATTAAGTCAGGGAACATTATCTGTTCTTTCCTTGTAAAAGCAGCTTAGTTCTAATTTATTCTATAAACAAAAGCGTCTCTGTGTTGAATTAAGTTCACTGCTCTGTGAATCATGCCAAAGACTATCCAGCATTATTGATTTAATAGGTATTTGTTTTAAAAGGTTGATGCGACTGTATTTGCTCCCCTAAGTCAAGAAAGGGACAAGCAACAAACACATCTTTCATTTCTCTCCTATATCCTCAAGTCCATCCAAACTTATCTCTCATTTTGATGGTAACACATAATAGGCTAGAAACATGTTTGCCACCTTTAGTAGTAGTTCTTGACAGCCATAGTGAACTAGAGTTGGGTGATTACATTGTACAAATACCTGATACACTTGCCAGAAGATACTGAGAAGTTAGATGTCAACTTAACATGTCTGATTCACTTCTCTCCTACCCTGTCTTCTACCTCTGGGCCACAGTTTGCTGTGCTGTGGCCCAAGGAGCCTAAATGAGTATTACCTTATTGTGCTAGAGCTCTGTTTTCTGGGTACGGGTGTTAGTGGAACAGCTCCCCAGTGAACAACAAAGCATACCAATTCAAGCCCATTCCTCACCATATAGAGGAAGAATTATATTTACAGTGTGATTACAGTGATATTATCTTAAAACCATAGAAATTGGACCTTAAAGCTCATCTGGTACACTCTCCTACTCAGTGCAGAAAATTCTTCTCTAATATTCCTGATATGAAAATATAAATATCCCACATTTACATTCCAACATACTAATCACAGGGTTTGAAGACACTTAAAGAAGATAGTCTCAGTTCAATTCAATATATATGTGTATATATATATATATATATATATATATATATATATATATATATATACACACACACACACATATATATGCAGAGAGAGAGAGAGAGAGAGAGAGAGAGAGAGAGAGAGAGAGAGAATATGAATACAGGCTACTCTTTCCTGGCAGAAAGAGGGAGCCAAAATTTAGATAAGATTTGATCCTTGCCATTATGGAACTTATGGCCTAGTACACAGAATATAACCCATATATAAATATTTGTAATACAGACAAACAAACATGAAAAGAATATGAGAAGTATGAATGAAATGCTATATGAGGTCCAAGGAAAATAAGACTTCATGGATGAGATGGCATTTGAGGTGAGCTTTAAAGGAAAAGTAAGACTTCACTATAAGGGATGGGGAAAAGATATTATGAGTTCCTCAAAGAAGGGACTGATTCATTTTTGCCTTTGTATTCCCAGCACTTCGCATAGTACCTGGCACATTGCTGTTATTCATTCATTTTTCAGCCTCTTTGTGACCCCATTTGGGATTTTCTTGGCCATGGTATTGGAGTGGTTTGCCATTTTCTTCTCCAGCTCATTTTACAGATGAGGAAATTGAGGCAGAGGGTCAAGTGACTTGCCCAGGGTCACATGGCTAGTAAAGTTTCTAAGGTCAAATTTGAACTCAGAAAGGTGAGTCTTCCTGACTCTAGACCCAGCACTTTATCTACTGTGCCACCTGGCCTGCCTGGCACATAGTAAACACTTAATAAGTACTTGCTGTTTAGTTGATTAGTGGATGGTAAATAGTACAGTTTGG